AAAATAAATGTAAATAACAATCTGATCGGCTTGCAGGTAAAGCTACTGTGAGTTAAGGAGGGGCAAATGTACCATGGACCATGCTCATATACTGAATGCTCTTTAAGAAAAAGAAATTTAGGGGAACCAAGTGATGACTGTGTAACTGCAAGCCTGACCAGACTGCAAGAACAATGATTGTGTGTAACTGTATTGTCTGACGATGGAGAGATATAGTGTATCATATACTTGATGGAGAGATAGTTTCAAGACACAGACTTGCAAACACTTGGTGTCACCAACTGGAGAGAGAAGGCCAACCAGAGAGATGGATGGAGGCAGGTGACATCGGCAGCAATCAACCTCAAGGGCTCAGAACGCACAAGAAGAAGAAGACAAGAAGAAGAACTGAAGAAGAAGAAGAATTGACTGTCACTTGTAGAAAGCAGAACTAGACTAACAGGGAAGATGTAGCGATAAAAGGACACCGTACACACTAGACAACATAATAATAATGTAAAGCTACAGTTAATCCCTAAATTACCATACCTCTGCATCTAGGAATGCAAGTCATACACCTCCCTTTTTTAATCAATACATCAAAACTTTGTTTTATTTTGGCTCCACCGGTTCTCTCAGTCGTTTCATCGGCTTGTTGCAATAACGCGAATTAGTTTTTGTACGAAAACTTGACCGCTTAAAAAACATGGACCGGGCTTTTTGTAAACAAATCAACTGGATACTTAAATGATGTCGAGTTAGTATGATAATTTCAAACTTGACCCACGCCCAGGAGTGACAACAATCGCAGTTGTTTACTTGCAGTCGTAGACGGCTAGGGTGAAATAAGTGTCAGATCGTAGTTAAGATAATATTTTATATTCTAATTACTGGATTGGTACCCTGCCTTATCTTCCAAGGCCGAACGAGACCGCCCTCCTATTGAAATTCGTAGTATATTATATATATACTATTAGTTACTATTACACAACAATAATACTGGACTTTGCTACATTACATGATAAGAGTCCTCCTTGTGGGATTTATATGGCTTTAGTACGCGATGACAAGAGACAAGGAGCTGGTTGGAATGTAGAGCAAGAAACTTGGAAAGGTTGTTGAGACTAATCAGTTAGGTCAGTCAGCAGACGCCGTGACACGGACACACTGACTATCATGCGATTCAATTAGTCTTATGTAAACGAGGATACATGTTACGATTACCGTTACTAACTTAATTACCACTATCAGATTGACTGTTTCCTGGTCGCAAAGCTGAGACCCATTGGGTGATCTTATTTATTCTTAACAACACAATTCTCACCTGACGAAGTCTGACGTGTCTTGAAGGTATGAATGACTCGGTTCTCTGGCTATCTTCCGAATAACGGCCACATATTATGGCGGTCACAAAAACACCCTAACAGAGCCTCAGTAACATGTAAATTGCGGACTTTCGGCGATTCAGATTACGCACTTTCGGCGACTACCGCCACCTCCGAGAGTATCTCCCACGCCTCGCGTGGGGCTAAACTAGATAGTTGGGACCCACGAGCAACAGCTTCCGCATCTCCTGCAGCGTTGCTTGTAAGTCCCAGCCATCTAGTTAAGCTCTAATTCACACAGCGTGTAGCGGCATGGAAGATACCCTCGGCGGTGGTGGTATAGTCGCCGGAAGTTCGCAATTTACACGTGACTGAGGCCCAGTTTTTGGCCACCAAAATATGTGGCCATTATTCAGAAGAAAGCCTGTTCTCTTTATTAATTAGTTACAATTTGATTTTACTTCTGTACTTTCATAACCGTAAATGGAAGGTGTATATTAAAGACGTGAAATGTAGAATACATGTGTAGGCTGGTACATGTTTAAAATTACCAGTGGATCCGGTAAGAAAAGTAATAGTAGTAATTTTTTAAGAATATCCTGTTCAACCCCTAGGGTTATAATTGGGTTGTATAGTGTTAAATGAGTTCTCATGGTTTATATTTGTTATTTCAAATTTATGCATCATGTAATTACTTATATGACCAAAATACAATTTGTGTACTTTCACATTTTGCTTTGATTTGGGCTGTGATTATGATAGAAACTGTGCTAAGAAAAATTAGACATTGACTAAGAAAATTAGACAGTCTTGATAGCGACATTTCATTATCATGGTGGATATGTTGTGTCCTTAGTGTGCAGTCATTGATTATTTTTCTCATTGTCATGTTCAGGGGAAACGTCTTTAAAGATACCATGGGTAATCGGTACCCTTCTAGATATGGATTTTAGTCCTAGTAATAAATTGCTTGATCTTGCCACGCAGCTTAAATGCAGCAAGTTTTTCATCATCATATGTTATTTACAGAGATTCATGTAGTCAATTATTGGTTTTCTTTAATTTTCATATTTCCTACACTCTAGCAAATAGTGCTCTATATTATTGTATTTCTGGTATACATTACGGGTCTCTTCCTGTAGAGTAAAGCAAGACCATGCAAGGTGTAGTCTAAGCAGTTTAAAATTGCATGGTATTAAGTTTATCTGTTATCTGACTTGGTCTTTTGGGAGGATTTAATTCCCGTAAGAAAGGATGTATGAATGAGTGGTAGAGAAAGACATGTGAACAAAAAGTGTGCTACTGTAACAGCCAGCATCTACACCTTAAGACGGGGCTATAGGAGGCTCGCTTTCAAATCCAGCTGTGACTTGCTGCAGCCCACGGCCTAGTCTCTAGGTAATGGGTATTAGAGTTGACGTTCTGGGGTAAATGGAGGAACGTCGCCGTAGCTACGGAGTTGCGAGCGGACTGCAACACAGGCGACAGTTTCTTAACAGCTGTTCGTACTGGTGGCAGAGCACTTATAGTTTATAACCGTGTGTAATGACGCTGGTTTACATCTCCTGACTTTACCGTTACTTTACCTTTACCTTTTTCTTTACAGGGCTATTTAACTAGGTTTGCTCTGGGGTCGAAATTTTGAAAATGGGGATCGTTTTGGGCCACAGGCTTGATCCCCAGTACATGAAGATCGTTAATACAATACAGCTGGCAATGCTATACGGGCCGCTTTTGGCTTGCGGGCCCTTTGGAAGCGAGTAAATAGTGCCAAGGAACAGACACATCATTAGGCGGTCTGAGGAGAATGGTACTGTGAGGAGTTACAAGGGTATCTGGTCGACGCTCAACACCCAGGGGAAATGCGAGACAGATTTACAATCAGACGGTTACTGGTACTATCAGAATTTTAACTCTTCGCTTGCTTCTGAAGATGAGGATTTAGCGTTAATGGGGGTGTTCTGAGTGCTGTGATGTTGATTTTTTAATTCAACATTCAGTCACCAAAGAAAACATTTAAACTGAATAGCTACCCAAAAATTCTGAGAGTATTATGCACCAAGAAGAAGAAAACCACCAACGGTTCTTTATTAATGTCCTACCACAGATGACGTTACAGGACAGTCCAACATTTTAGAGGGTGGTAAGACTGGGCTTCCCAGCTTTCTGATGCTTTTAATGACCCCAAAACATCTAGAGCTGGCCCTAACCCCAACCCACCTACATCCCACTAGAGAGTGTAGCCTAGGTCCCACATCCAGCCTGTCATACATCATTTCACCACCAAGAGGTGCAGAACCGACCAGTCTATCTGCCTGCTCATTTCCCAACACACCAATATAACGTGGAGAAAATATCCAAAGGATGTTAACTACCCGGCACCTTTAAAGTGATGCTTGCCACTCTGCACGGAGCATGCCTGTCTCAAAATGTATTTTTGTATTTGTATTTAGTGACTAAGTAAGAATGATATATGACCAGTTATCAGATTATTAATAAATTATGTTGTATGATAAAAGCACTAATGTAGAGCTTTGGGAGAGAACTAAAGAAGTTCCAGTGGACTTAGAGGTGAAGAAAAGAAGCTGGTATGGAATAAGACACAATTGAGGAAATCAGTGAACAATAAAATATCTTTGCTCTGGAACCCCCAGGGGCCTAGAAATAAAGGAAGACCAAAAAACACATGGAAAAGGGAGCTTGAGAGCAAAATTTAAAAGATGGAGAGGACATGTTGAGAGCTGCATGCGATAGCGAAAGATAGTATGACTTGGCGTGAGTTGGTTGAGGGCCTATGCTCCATTGGGGTTAGAAAGGCAGAAGAAGATGAAGAATCTGAAGAGATGCACAGATAATAAAATAAAGTAAAGAACCCTTGTCATACAACTTGCACATCAAGTATATTCGGCTAGACACATATTTTTATAGACCTATTGGCCTTTGATGGGTGATGTACTCAGAATAATGCTGGCCACCTTTGCTTCCCAAGACTGTACCTGATACCTGTTTTAGGCTCGGTCAACCTGGGAGTCAAGGTCATTTAAAAAAAAAGTTTTACTTGATGTGGATTTGACCTTTGGGTTGGCAGGGGGAGTGTCAAGCTGGTACACCACCATAGTTTCGAGAAAAGAAGACAAAAACACAACTGACAGATTTAACAACAACAACAACAAAAAATAAAAATAAAAGACATAAAATGATTTTATAACAGATCTCTCAAAGACCTACATCAGAAATGGAAACTTCTGTAAAAGATATTTCATCCCCACAACTTCAGCGCGTGATATGTCTGCTGAATTCTCTCCATAGCATAATATACTCTCTTTCATTTTTGATTCGGTCATAACACACTTAAGAAATCTGGCTGTCCAGTGGTCACTATTAATGTTATATTACTACTTTGAAAGTAACTAATTGATTAATTTTAATCGCAGATATTTCTTCATTGGTATCTTGTACAAAACATTCTTTTGGTACTGAAAGAATTTAAAATTCACCAGTTCACAGTTTCTGACGTTTTAATATTTCCTGTTTGCTTCACAGAACCTTATGTGTGATACAGTTATCTTGATGAGATAATCATCAGGGACAACCATCATCCACCTCTTCAGCCACTGCTGGGAAAGACTAATTACCTCTGGGCTTGTACCACGTGCAGTGACATTAGTTCTACATCATCCTACTGATATCATCATTATGAAGAAAGTAGCTAAAGTTGCCATTATTGGCGCAGGGGCAGCAGGTTTGTGTGCTCTAAGAGTCTTCACCGACTCATCCGCAAACTCGTCAACCAGTTTTTGTGTGGTATGTTACGAACAAGGATCTCGAGTTGGCGGCACGTGGATCTATACAGATCAAGTTGGACAGGATGAGAACGGCCTTCCGGTCCATTCTAGCATGTATGAGAATCTGAAGTAAGTATGTGGGTCCCTTTTTTTCGTCCTCCTTTCTCTCTGTGTGAGTTCGCAAGCTGAATTATTGTGGAGTGGGGATGGAGGGGGATTGGGGAAAGAGTAGGCTCACCACCCTCTAACAAAAAGTTAGTTGCAAGTTTTTTACAGGATGTTGCAGAACCAACCCCAGCATTTTATGGTTGTTGTGGTTAACAGGCATGTCATAAATCACAACTAATGTGTTGAGATTGTCTGAAACTGGACATGATTAGCCAATAGGTGCAAATATCACAGCCTAGCTGTGAACCAGAACACAACATGATCAGTGATTATGAGTATGAAGGGGGCTGATTTATCCAGTATGAGCTTGGAAGGTTCTTGAGCAGTGTGGACAACAGGTGGAAGCCGCAGTAAGTGTGGGATTAACGATACGGTTCTTTCTAGTCTGTCTCTGTTTCTCTGCCTGTGCAACCTCCGCTGTCTGGCAGTCTGATGCCTGAGGGATGTATGCCACCCAGAACGGTCTTGTGCAGCAATCTTCAGTGTTGCTGTATTGATACCAGAAGAATTGAGAGCAGTTTTGAGTATCCTTATAGGATTTTTTCTGTCCTCCCTGGGATCTCTTCCTTTGCTGCAGCTTGCCACAAAATACTCTATTTTGGAGGCGATAGTATGGTATGCGAGCTAGGTGACCAACCCAATGCAACTGATAATTCTTCAGTATCGTGTGGTTGCTAGGTAGGTTTGCCCCATCAAGAACCACAGTTTTTGGAATCTTATCTTGCCATCTGATTTTTAGCAGCTTTCTGAGACAAGTTATATGAAACTGATTCAACCTTTTTAGTATGGCGCTGATACACAGTCTACGTTTTGCAAGCGTAGAGCAGTCCTGGAAGAATTACAGCTCTGTAAATGTTTAGCTTGGTCAGCAGGGAAATAACACTTCTATTCCAGATGCTGACATAATGACCATACTGTATTTGAATACATGTAGAAAGACATACATGAATAAATGTTATTTTTTGTATCTGGAAAAAAAAAAAACCTAGTGCATTTTTAAGCAAGAGTTAACATAAGACCCAGTCTTAATTTGGGAGAAACACAGTAACTATTTACCCAGAATGGAGATGGAGGCAGTCACTGCTGCTTTCCACTGGCTTGAGAATCAGCCTCTACACACCTGCAGTAATTGTAACTGACTCACAGAGCATGCTGAGAAAGATGGAGACCTAAGTGGTGGAGTGCCAAGCATCACATTGGAGGTCCTGGGTAGTTAGCATCCTTTGGATTTTCTCCAGGTCATGCCAGTGTGTTGGTACCATTGGAATCTGAACTCTTCACCTGCTGCTGAAAATGGGGACAGAGCGCTTATGGGAGTGTCCCGAGTGCTATAATGTCAATTCTTAATTCAACATTCTATCCATTTGTCACAGCATGTTTCAAATTTTCCTCAAAATATGATACAACAAATTATGACAGCTACTTTGACAGATTGTCATATCAAGTACATTTTAGCATCTTGTCATATTCTATCCACAGAACTAATTTGCCCAAAGAGTGCATGGCTTTTCCAGATTACCCATTTCCGGAGTTGCCATCTTTTGTCAGACATGAGGAGGTGCAGAAATACTTGGAAGATTATGCCACCCATTTTGATGTGCTTAAATATATTGAGGTATTGTTTCTGAAATATATTAAGGTATTTTTTATTATAATCCAATCATCTCCTTGTGAGATGCAATTTTTTGTTATTTGAAGCCCCACCCTGGCTCTTGCCAGGGGCCTCAATATAGCCCGACCATAAATATGGTCTAATGGCTGAATCCGGTTTCTGTGACCTCTCCACGGTGATCCTCATCTACATGGTGGCACTTTATGTCATCAGGTGTTTATCGCTTGTGTGTTGTCCTGGTGGGGTAAAAATCTACTACTACTACAATTAAGGTATGGTTTTTTAAATATATCAAGTTTAAAAAAAAATTTGTTTGTGTGAAAAGAAAAAATCTGAGCAAGAAGAAGATAACCACTGACATCCTACATGATCTGAGCATTCAGGAGAATTGGCTCATAAACAGCACCCTGTCCCGATAGCTGGAGTATTTTGGCCATGTTAAACTTTAGCGTAGTTGGTTAAACCTGACATCGCGGTGACCGGGTGATGAACTCCTTGTGGTCTGGGTTCACTCCCGGGGGTAGGCAGAAAAGCCACATTTCTCCCAGATTTACGGTACCTATAATGAAATCAAGGCCGAAGGGTTGCAATATCTATAGTACCGAGCCAAGGGGTTAAGAACTCATGGCTTCTGGATACTAAAATAAAAAAGAAACAATGGCCTGGAGAGAACGGTGATGGAGGGTATAGTTCCCAGAAACAGAGGCAAAGGCAGACCTCCACAAAGCTGGCTTCAAGACATTGAAGATGCATTGGCTGTGAAAGCACATAGGGCTGGCGAATTGGCTCAAGAAAGAGAAACTTTCAGGTGTGGCGTGATGAGAGCCACGTTCTATATCGGTAACGGACCTATTGATTGTTTTTCCTTTTTTTTTCTTGATGTGTTATTCTCTTTATGATATTTAGAAATTTCAAAGAAGTCCCAAAAGAAACTGAAGCTTTTTGCGTCTCGTTTTACTAGACAAGTTGTCGTAGAGTAGTTTGCTGTTATTAAAATTAGTAACCATGGAAATGAGGTGTCTGAGAAAGACTGTAGGAAGGACCAGAAGAGATAAAATCAGGAATGAGGTCATACGAGATAAAGTCGGCACAGAACTAGTTCAAAATTACATACAAAGACAGCAGTTCAAATGGTTTGCCCACTTGGAGAGAATGGCTCCTGATGCTATACCATTCAAGGCATTTACCAAAAGAAGGGAGGGATGTAGGCCAAGAACAAGATGGGAAGATAACATCAAATAAACTCTACAGCACCACTATGTGTCTATGGTTGAAACAGCCAAATAGGACATAAAGAAGAAGAAGGAAAAGTTTGCTATTTCTTACTGAATGGTTGAGACTAATAGTCAGATCAAGGCAGCGAGTAGAACCTACTAGAACATTTCCGTCCAGGACACAGTCCTGAGTACCCACCAACCTCCTCACACAAAAGAAACAGACCATTATATGTATACTGTGTACTGGACACAACATACTCTACAAGCCGTATGTACAAGACATTCAAGACTGGGGATTCAGAACTTTGCCCATATCGACAGGCTACAGACATACTCCCTACATGCAGTAATAGAGATCTCAGGTTTGGCTGGTTGGTATTCCAGTGGAAACTAAGCTGTATGGATCAGCACCACATACTTCATAGAGGCATGTGACCTCATCTGAAAACAAATGGGAGAAGGAAAAGAAGAAAAAATAACACATATTTGTCAAAACCAACAGAAACCAGTCTGCAAAATCACCTGCAGCTGAACTTAACTAAGTAAGTTGTAATATTGAAACTATGTTCATAACCCCTTAGCTGTAAAAGATGATGCAGCTATGTACATACATTTTATGGAAAAGCAGCATATAAATTTTATTACCACTTTGAGGCATCAAAATATCAACATGCACACACACAAAAAGCAGCTCATAAATGGGCTATACATACCAACTTTGTGCTGTCAATGCAAGACATGGACAGTCCTAGAAAAACAAAGTTACAACATGTGAGAGGAGATGCATAAGAAATGCAGTGGTTGTCTGATTAGAATGGAACAAAATCAGCCAGCAGCTAGCATGTACTACATGAGAACAGCAGGCTTCAAGGCAAGAGGCAGACCAAGAAAGAGATGGGCAGAGGAATTAAACGAGGCACTACAGAAATGCAATATGACATTAACACAAACTACGCAACTAGCAAAAAAGACAGGAAAATACATGTAACTCATCTCTAGGACATTTTACAGCAAGGCTTTTCTACTAGTGGCTCGCAGGCATAATTTGGCCCACTGAGGCTTAACAAATGGCCACGGATCATTGCCAGTTGTATTAATGGTCTTTCTATGCCCCTATTTCAGACCTCTGGCTCATAATTATCCACATTTTCAACATATTATCCCCTGTGTAAACTTAGTTGCATAGCAATGGTTTACAGAATAAGCAAATAGGACCAAAAAAAGTAAAGAAGAAGAAGATACAGTGGCATGGTCATCTATTGAGAATCGATTGGCAACTTTCCGTCTTTCCAGACAGCCCATGGAGAATGTGACTAGCAAGACCCGCCCACGTCAACAAAAGTCTTTCACAATGATAGCATGGGATTTCAGGGTCGCAGTTGTCAAAAATTTCTGTTTAATCCGTTTCTTCTGTGATGCTCAGCTCTCATCCTTTCTGCATTCTTCCTTCATTCTTATTCCCTTCCTGATCTGCCCTCTCTACACAACACGATCTGTGGAATATTATTCCCATTAGTCTACCTCAGTACCTGTATCATTCATGTTCCACTTGCACACATCTTTAAATCGTAGTAGAGGTCGGCCTCGACATCTTCTACGCATCTTCAATTCACTGTAGTGACCCAGCCACCTGAGCCTTCTTAGACTGTTGAGAATGCCCTGGTACCAACTGCTTTAGACAGCCATGCTGGGGATGTATAATAAACACAGAGCAAGGGGAAGACCATGCAGCAGATGGAACAACAGCATCAGAAACATTCTTTGGAAAATGGAGAGTAGCTTATACATCATGTTAAAACAAGCACACAAAGTGATCCTTGCCTCTCTTCCTGATGCTTCACTGAGCTTATTAGACTAAATACCTAGTACCCATTTAAGCCAAAGTCATTTTTGAACAAAGTCCAGCTCCATCAGGACTGGAATTCACAGCCTTTGGATCCATGGGTGAGGAAGTAGAACAAAAAAATAATCTTAAATGTTTTAAATTATGCACTTGTTTTAGGTAGGTAGGTAAGTTGTACCCCACCAGGACATCACACAAGCCATAAACACCCGGTGACACAAAGTGCCACCATGTGGATGAGGATCACCTGTGGAGAGGTCCCGGAAACTCTATTCAGCTATTAGGCCATATTTATGGCCCAGCTATATTTAGGGACCCTGTCACAAGCCAAGGTGGGGCTTCAAAATAACAAAAAAAAATTCATCCCACAAGGGGACAACGTATTTCAATATGTACTTGTTTGATATATCTACAAATAGAACTGGATAGTCAAATGAGAAGGAAAAACTCCACATATTTTGTACCTAACATGAGAAGGTGAAAAAATGTTTGATTGATCATTATTATGTCTAGAACAGTGTTTTCCACCTTGTTATCTTTTCTCCAGGCTATGCCAGTGTGGTGGGTAATGAATAGGCAGACAGATTGGCTGGATTAATAGTGAATTGATGCATGACAAGGCAGATGTGGTCAAGGCCCCTTGGGAACAAGCAATGGAATCAGTAGAGAAACAAGATTATTATGGCCTGGAGAGAATGAGACACCTGGGTGTAACCAGAGGGTCTGGCCGGCTCACTACACTCAGAGGAAAGGCAAGATGGACATGTAACCAGATTGTGACCGGTACCATCAGTATTGGAACTCTGCCCTGGCTGCTGAAGATGAGGACGGAGCATGCATGGGAATGCCCCGAGTGCTGTGAGGACAAATCTTGACTCAACTCAACTCAGCCTAGTGAATTTCAATAATGAAGATACAAATAATACCTCTGTTAAATGTTTAAGCATCAAGAAGTGCACCACACGTTTATTGATAACTTGTAAATTTTGTAGCTTCTGAACTGCTTCTCTCCCATCGCTCAGTTATAGCAATCCAGCCTAAAACAATGATTACTCAACTGATTATGTCCCTTACCATATTATTTTAACTCATTCAGACTCAGAGATTGTTGCTATAAAGTAGAACAGCATTTGGGGTAGAAATTATTAAGTGGAAACTGACTGGGCTCACAGAGTAATCGTTATTTTATTAATTTCTGAAGAGACTAGGATGGAAAATAAATAAAAATGTATGTTTATTCATACACACACACACACACACACATATATATATATATATATATATATATATTTATTTATATATATATATTGCTTTCTGAGTGGTCAGCTCTGGGTACCACTGTTGAAACCAATGCAAGACAAACCATCCGTGGCTGGGATCAAACACTGCACACCGGCATTATGAAGCGCATTCGCAACACCTAAGCCACAGACACTGACAAATATATATATATATATTATTATTTTAATTTTTTGGTGTGTTTTGCCCTGACAGTTTCAGACAATCGTAACTTTGGTAGAGCCAATCTCTGACGACACAAACCAGTTTGGCACCAGCTGGAAAGTGACGACCAAAAGTGTCACAGACTCGTCACTGGAGAACACCAGTGTTTTTGATGCTGTCCTTATCTGCAACGGGTAAGTCTTAACATCACATGTACTATACTACCATGTACTTGGCAGTACCCTGTCTTAGAGAGTCAACATCAACGATGAGAATACTGTTAGAATCTCAAATGCCAGCAGCAGTTTCGGCAGACTTTATAACCAGTGTTCTGAACAGGAGTGGTCTCTCTATGTTGACTAAGCTAAAGGTTTACAAAGCTGTAATTCTTCCGGTACTGCTCTACGCTTGCGAAATGTGGAAGTGTATCAGTGACATGCTAAAAATGTTGAATCAGTTTCATATAACTTGTCTCAGAAAGCTGCTCAAAATCAAATGGCAAGAAAAGATCCCAAATACTGTGGTTCGTGACAGGGCAAACCTGTCTAGCATCCAAAAGATACTAAAGAATTATCGCCTGCTTTGGGCTGGTCACCTAACCCACATGCCAGAATATCACCGCCCAAAGAGTATTTTATAGCAAGCTCTAGCAAGGGAAGAGGTCCCAGGGAGGACAGAAAAAGCACTATAAGGACACTCTCAAGACTGCTCTCAATTCTTTTAGCATCAACACAGTGACGTGGGAGGCTGCTGCGCAAGATCGTTCTGGATGGCGTATGTTCCTCAGGCATGGTGCCTCAGCCAACCAGGGAGTGCAGGTTGCACAGGCAGAGAAACGGGGGCAGGCTAGAAAGATTTGTTCTGCTAATCCCACACTTACTGTGGCTTCCATCCATTGTCCACACTGGTCAAGAACTTTCCAGGCTCATATTGGACTAATCAGCCAAATTTGTACTCATAATCATTGATCATTACTACTTTGCAGGAAAGTGATTTTCATCACTCATGATGGACAAACAACAAGCTACCTTGTCTCTTAGTTGTATGTAATCTTCCTTCTCACTTTCTATTTTACTGCTTCAGGTGTTGAGGGAGATATAAGGCTCTGCTTCTTGTTCATCTGGCCACCTCAGCCGTATACATATCTCGATGTTGTAACTTCTGTAATGTCGGCCCATTTTATTCCTAGTCTACCTCATGCTGTACATCTTTCTCCTGTTTTGTGTATATATGGTATGGCATCACAAGGCATTCTCTCTAAAAGAGGAAGTTGTCTTTGTATGTAATTTAGAATTGGTTCTGTGCCGACTTTTTCTCTGTTGACCTCATTCTATATTTTATCTCTTCTGGTCACTCCTGCGGCGCTTCTTAGGTGTCTCATGCCCTGGTTACTAATTTAATTTTCTGGTTTGTTGTGAGTTACTGTGTCTGACACTGGTAGCATTGAGTGGGAATGAAATGATATGCTTTGTATGAGATGTTTCTTTCTTTTATTCAGGATTGTCATATATACTGTATGTAGGGGTGGAGGGGGAAGGGGGGGGGGGGGGGGGGGCTAGCTGCTAAATATTACATATAATAAACAGTAAAATTGCAGTAACATCTGATTCCATGAGAGGAATAGAACAGAAATATCACCAGTGAAGTCCAGGTCATCAGTCTGTTTAATAGGGGTCCACTGAGTTCGATTCCTGTTGGTAGCTGCTGCTGTGTTCATAATCTAGTCCAGGGCTATTCAACTGGTGGTCCTCAGGCTAAAACTGACCTGCAGAGGCCTACCAAGTAGTCCTCAGGGTGGTCACTGACCTGCAGAGGCCTACCAAGTAGTCCTCAGATCATTACCCATTGAGTTGAGTCAAGAATTGACATCACAGCACATTCCCATTTGCGCCCCGTCCCCATCTTAAGCAGCCAGTGCAGAGTTCCAATACTAACGGTACCGGTTGTTGTCTGATTATATGTCCATCTTGCCTTTCCTTTGAGTGTAGTCAGCCAGGCCAGACCCTCTGGTCACACCCAGGTACATCATTCTCTTTAGACCATAATAATCCAGTTTCTCTTCTGACTTCAGTATTTGTTCCCAAAGGGCCTTGACCACATCTGCCTTGTCATGTATCAGTTCACCACCTAGTGATGCAGATCCAGCCAATCAGTCTGCCTGTTTGTTTCCCACCACGCAGACATCGTGTGAAGAAAATATCCAAAGTATGCTCACTACCCTTGACCTTCCAAATGATGCTTGCCAATCTGCTTGAAGCATCCCAGTCTTCACCTTTCTTAGCATGCGTTCAGAATCTGTTATAATGATGACATGTATATGCATCTTGTTTTCTAGCCACCAGTTTGTGTGTATTGATGATCATCCTACACTGTGGTTCGGGCCTCTAGACTGTGAAGATCCCTATTTTCAACATTTTGGCTCCTGAATAAATTAGTTGAATGGAACTGATTTAGTCTGTTGCAAGTAAAAATAGTTGTGGCAACAGAAAACACCCCTGTCTTATTTCAAGTGTATCTTAGCTTTCCTTCATGAAGAACTTAACATTTAATGTCTTTATATGCTTCTTTTAATAATATATTTCTGTGGGATCACATAGTATCCTCATCAATTTCCAGCAAGATTCCCTATCACTGGCTTCCTCATAGTCTGCAAAATCAAAATCTTACTGAATAATCTTTTTAGCAATTCTGTGGATGCATTTATGTAATAACTTCTGCTGGGATACTATCTGGACCAGCAGGCTTTCTATTCCTGCAGTAGATTGAAAGCTTTCCTAATTTCCTCTTTATGTGGTATCTTACAATTGATGTCTAGTTCCATTTTTAAAGACTTAATTTCTGAAGAGACCCCTGAGGCTTGTCTACTCAGAAGTACTTTAACATTTTCAGCCCCTCTGTTTATTTGATCCGTGGCCTTCTTCTTCTTCTTTGCGCTTACAGGCTGTACATTCCAGCGGAAAATTCTGGATGTTTGTTCACCTCTGGACGTCAGTCTTGTTCCAGAACCTGAGGATTGCATGCACTCCCGTTTGAGAAATCTGCACTATTTGTATGCAGACTGTTGGTTCCTTGCCTCTCAGGCAGATGCACTCCAACTTCGAAGGAAACTCCCAATTAGTCGACTCTTACAACATGCTTTTTGGGTAAGCAGTGGGTTTATTCTTGTTTTCCTCACAATGGTGCCCCGGAACCCATGTACTTCTGTCCACTTCTAAGACTGTTCAGCACCCCTCCAGGCTCCTTACCTCCCACAGGAGGCAGTATAGTGTGGTGCACTGGGTTTATTATTGAGGTTTGCTCCTTTAGATCCATTGTGTTTTCCTGAGGATTCGCACCTCAACCCCCGCCAGTTACTAGAACTCCCTCGAGGGTTGTGTGGTTCATTTAAAGATATAAACCTTATATCTTCACAGCCACTATGCGGTGCCGCTGTTTCCAGATATACCAGGCTTGGATACATTTTCAGGAGAAATCTTACACAGTCATGACTACCGACGACCAACAGCATTTTTAGACAAGAGAGTTCTGGTTTTAGGAGCTGCCTCTTCTGGCCAGGACATTTCTATAGAGGTGGCCAGTGTGGCCAAACAGGTAAAAATAATTCTGTTTTATTCTGGATATTTTTCATTCTCCTTTGAACATCCTTTATGGTGAATTACAGATGGGCAGAAGATGCTGAGGCCAACCTCTACTACGATATAAAGATGTGCGCAAGAGGGACACAAATGATACAGGTATCGAGGCGGACTCATGGGAACAAAATACCATGGACCCTGTTGTTTGGAGGGTGCGCAGCAAGAAGGGAAGGAGAATGAAGGAAGAAATCAGAAATCTGGAAATATGTGCATGTCTATTCGTGATCTGCAACTGCATTGATCAGTTCGTATGTTGACATTCCTCCATGCCGTGCTTAATGTGCAGTGACGTCGATTGTGATAACATAACATAACATACATAACAAATAGTTTCATTTTCTCTACCATTCAGGTTTTTCTTAGCCATAATAAGCCACTTCTGAAATCACCACTTCCTGACAATTTACAACAGAGACCTGGCATCAAGAACATCAACAAAGGTCGGGTGGAGTTTCTGGATGGCAGCCAAGAAGATGTGGACTTCCTCTTACTGTGCACTGGCTATCATTACCGCTACACCTTCCTGTCCGCAGCGTGCGGGGTTGAAGTGACGGAAAATCGCGTGACCCCACTTTACAAACACCTGGTCCACACAAAACATCCCAACCTGGCAATCCTGGGTATATGCAAAGTTGTGATTCCATTTCCGATGTTTCACATGCAGGCCTCTTTTTGTAGGTAAGTTTTTGCTGAAAACCTTTGTACCTTTTACTCAGAGGTCTTTAAGATAGTTATCGTGCTTTGGATATTGTCTCCATGTTATGTTGATGTATGACAAGCTAAATTTTGTCAGGGCCCTTTGGGAGAGAGTGAACAGTGCGGAGGCACAAACAGATAATTACAGTCTGAGGAGAATGGCGCTGCGAGGAGTTACCAGGGCATCTGGCCGATGCTCAGCACTCAGGAAAAAGGGTGAGGGGGATGTACAATCAGACAGTTACTGGGACCATCCAAATTGGAACTCTTTGCTTGCTGCTGAGGATGGGAATGGAGCGCTTACGGAAGTGTCCTGAGTGCTGTGATGTCTATTCTTAATTCAGCATTCTCCATGTAATGCTGCTGTGTTGGACAATGAACTGGCAGATAGACTGGTTGGTTCTGTGCCACTTGTTTGTGAAATGATGCTTGATAATATAGATGTTGTAAGAGTCCTTGTGGAGTAAGTGAACAGTGCAGATAGATCATCACAGTCTAAAGAGAACAATGCAACTGGGAGTGACCGGGGGATCTGGCTGACTCTCTACACTCAGAGGAAAAGCAAGATAGAAATACAATCAGACTGCTACTGGTACTATTGGAAATGGGACCTCTTGCTGCTGAAGATAGGGACGGAGCACTTATGGGAATTTCCTGGGTGGTGTAATGTCGGTTCTTGAAACTCACCTCCTTAAAACATTCTATCTGGGGTTAAATTAACCCTGTCTGGAGCTGTCAGACGTAAACATTTTTAAAAAAGGTAAAGAGGGTGCTAAAATGTTACATAGAACCTGTTCTGCTGTATGGCAGCGAATCTTGGAATGTCAGTGAACAAATTAAGAAGATTTTGGACGAAACAGAGATGTGGTTTCTGAGATTAATGTTACGAATATCTTGAATGGCCAGAGTAACTAACGATTGCTTTAAAGAAGCTAATGAAAGTAGATATATACAACAATAAGAAAGAGACAAACACTGTTCTTTGGCCACATAATGAGAAGAGAGATATTGGAAAACATCGTGAAAACTGGAAAGATCAGTGAAAAAAGGGGTAGAGGCAGACCAAGAGAGATGATGCTGGATGGGCTGAAACGATGGCATGGAGGGATATCATCAATAGAGCTTTTCCAGGCAACCAGGGATCCTGATCTGTGGAGACTCATGAGCGCCTACGCCAGTTGGCAGGGCACATGATGATAATGAAGAACGCAGTATTGGTTGTTATTGGCGGAGGAGATGAGAGCCCGTATGGATTTGTCTCGAGTGTTGTGATGATAATCCTCACTAAACACTAACCCTGTCTGTCCTGGCCTAGTTGATTCAGTAACTCTTGAGTCTGGGTTTCTCTTCATATCATCATCATGTAGCAGGGCCTTTGCAGAACGTCCCTCTCATCACGATCTGCCTGAAAGAAACTCAGTCTCTCGCCAGCTTTCCCGCCTCATGTACTTTCATACTCAAGGAAACACTTCTATCCTGTGCCCATCTTCGTTTTGGCCGGCCCCTGCCCCTCCTTCCTGGTACCATGCCTTCTACTATTATTTTTTTCCAATCCATCGTGGCGTGTGATATGATCAAAATATTTCAGCTTCCGAGAGATCACGGTAGAGTCTGTTGTGCCCAGTAAAAGTACCCTTTCCCACGCCTTCATCTGTATTGGGCATATAGGGCTAGACCTAAATTTTATATACCAATCAGAACATGGTGGGTGATTTGGTCAGCATTATGCTAGCCACCTTTACTTCCCAGGACTGTACCTGGTACCCACTCTAGGCAAGGTTGACCTGGGACAAGATCATTTTGAATAAAAGTCCAGCTCCATGAGGACCCGAACCCAGGATCTACCGATCCGCAGGCGAGCGTCTAGCTACTACACCGCTGCGACTCCCTGTTGTGCCCGGTACGCAGTCTAAATATAATGGTAATGTGCAGTTGGAAGTTTGAACAACGGATCAACATCATGGCACACGGGTAGTAACCCATAAGTGCTCCATTCTTTCTTCTAACTCATGTCAAAAGTCTGAAGAAGCTTAGCACAGTGCACAGGCTCTGAAGCACCAGCGAGGATCCTGAAATACTTTGGGCAGATTTTTAACTTCAGATTTGCCCGGGCAGCGCCGTTAGGCTACTCTTTTCGATTTCCAACTGCCTAGGGTTGGTTTTTTTTACGTGCGCACCAATGCACAGGGGTGTCCAATCTCACTACGCAGAGACCAGGGAAAATTACTAGAAGTCTAAGTCTATGTGAAAAAATCCCAGCCCTTACCAGAGATTGAACCCGTAACCTCAAACAGTTGAGGCCAACACCATACCTCGAGACCATGCAATCCCCTGTGGTAATGTGCAATGCCACTGTAATGCCATGAGTTGAAATGATTTAAGAACTGACATCACAGCACTCGGGGCATTCTCATAAGCGCTACATCCCCATCTTCAGCAGCCAGTGAAGAGTTCCGATACTAATGGTACCAGTAGCATTTTGATTAAACGTCAGTGTTGCCTTTCCTCTGAGTCTCGAGCATCTGCCAGAACCTCTCGTCACTCCCAACTGCACCAATCTCACCAGACTGTGGTGATCCAGCTGCTCCTCCTAACTGTACTCCCACAAGGCACTAACCAGGTCTGTATTCCACAAAGTTGTGCAGAGCCAGCCAGTCTGTCCGTCTGTTTATTTTCCAACACACGGACATTTCCCGGTGAAACTGTAATGCCATGATTTTTTTAAATTCCACAGAGCTGTTCTTGATGGCAGCCTTATTCTTCCATCAGAAGCCGAGATAAACAGAGAGACGGAGGAAGACTACAGAAGTCGGTTAGCATCTGGCCTGCCTCACCGCCATGCTCACGTCCTGAATGAAGACCAGTTTAGCTACAACGATGAGCTGGCAGACATGGCCAAGGTGCCGAAACTCACCGATCATTACAAGCAGCTAAATCAAGCCACTCGCAACCTGAGACAGTCGGATCTTGTTGGCTACAAGAGACTCAACTTTGTTCTTGATAAGGAAGATGACACATATAAAATACAGAACAGTAATTTCTCATTATGATTTAAAAAAATGAAGATGTAAAATTTTTTTAGAAAATAAATGTTGAGGAAATTGACAGTATTGCATACTTTGAACATCTAGGCTCTGTAATGAATAGCATCAAGAAGTCAGTCAGGTGCCATCTCCACAGTGATGGCTGCCTGCAATGGCTCTCCAACACACTCTGTCTATTGTCCTTGTTGTATACTCTCTCAGGCTGCTGCCCGTCCATCTCTTGATGTTGTCCTACCACTTGTATCTTTTGCCTACCTCTTGCTCTCTTGCCTTTGACCATTTCCTCCAAAATGGTTTTTAAAAAGTGTGTTATGTCTTTTAATGTAGCCAAAGTATTTCAGTTGTGTCTTTTTGATTTCTTTCAGTAATTCTCTTTTAATTTTTAGCTTTTCCAAGACCTCTGTATTGAACTGTTTTTGTTTCCATGAAATACGACCTATTCTTCTATATAACCACATCTCCAGAGACTTAATTCGATTTTCTAGTTGTATGTTTGTTGTCCCAGTTTCTGCACAATATAGCAGGACTGATTATGCATAACGTTTGTATGCATAACACACATTTAGTGTGTTGTTTATAATCTGTTTAATAAATAGCATGGAGACTGTTCAATAGAAGTCAGAATGAAGCTGGCCATTGCAATGCTAGGATTAAACATAATTAAAAAGTCTGTGGTTAGTCGTCTGTATACACAAGGGAGTAGACCAAGAAGGGGATGGAGAGATAATGCCCAGACCGACTTGCAAACACTTGGTGTCACCAACTGGAAAGAGAAGGCCAGCCAGAGAGATGAGTGGAGGTGGGTGATATCTGCAGCAATGAACCTCAAGGGCTCAGAATGCTGAAAAAAGCGATCCAGAGAGATGAATGGAGGCAGGTGATATCTACAGCAATGAACCTCAAGGGTTCAGAATGTTGAAGAAAGCCATCCAGAGAGATGAGTGGAGGTGGGTGATATCTGCAGCAATGAACCTCAAGGGCTCAGAATGTTGAAGAAGAAGAGGAAGATGGTTTATTGTCAGCAAGAAAATTAAGATCAAAATTGTGTGAGCCTGCATCTTTTCTGTAACAACACACAAATGTGAGTTGCTGACTCTCCTGCAGTCATTAGGAAAGAAATAGGGGCTTCTGAGCTATAGAAAGATTCTCAGGATACCGCGGACCAAGAAGAAAAGCAATACTTATATCCTGGCAGATCTGAACATCAAGGAAGATTGACTAGTAAATAGCATCTTGTCTCGGAAACTGAAATTTTGGCCTTATTGAGTGCCAAGGCTGACTTGACAGAATAGTGAAGTATATGCTACAGAGAACAAGGGATGGGGAACGAAAGAAGAAGCAGAAGATTATGAATTTCACTGTGTGCATCTTTGATGGGCCCAAAGATTCATCGTAAGACTGTTTTAAAGTCAGGTTTGAAACACGTAGAGCAAGACCTAGGACAAGATGGAAGGATAACATCAGAGAAACTCTACAGTATCACAATGTGTCTTTGGCAACCAGAAAAGCACGAAGCAAAATCATATCTCTCCCTTTGTTTGAGAGTCATATAAAACAACTGGTCTTATCAACATTTTTACATAGTTTAATCTTGTTGCTACAAGATGAGACTTTTGACTTTAGCAGATTTTGAAGGGCATAGTTTACTTTTTTCCACATTGTATTCTAGATGGTATTTTTTTCTTTTAATATATTGCAACAGATTAAGTTTACACTCAGTTACTTATGTTTCTGTTGATGACATGTGAACGAAAGAAGAAGAAGAAGTTTCTGTTGATTTATAATTTATTATGGTTAGCTTCATTTTTTGATTTCCATTAAGTCTATTAATTCTTTATTTTTTGGGTATAATCTGTGTTGGCAGCAAAGATTGACGGCTTGACTAATTACCTTGTTTTAATTTCTGCCTGATGTGTTAATAAAAAAGGCGAGGCCTCAAAGACAAATATCACAAATGTCAATGCCATATGAGAAACTAAACGCTGCCAGCCTTTCAGTTTCATGGAAAATGATGAAAACCATGTGGGAGCCACCAGAACAGAACGGGAGCCACCAGAACAGAACGGGAGTTGTTAGCCACCTGGAGACACACTCAGGAGAAGATTGGAGCACTTATGGTAATGTCCGACGTGCATTGAAGATGATCTCAAAAATGAAGGGGGCTGCGTGGTCTCGAGGCGTGGTGTCCGCCTCGAGTGCTAGAGGTCTCAGGTTCAAGCCCTGGGGAAGGCTGGGATTTTTTCACGTGGACTTTTAGTTATTTCCCCTGGTCTCTGGGTAGTTAGACAGGGCTTCCGTGTGTATTGTTGCGAATCGAAAAGAGTAGCCTAACAGCGCTGCCTGGGCAAAATTTGGAGTTAAAAATCTACCTAAAGTATTTCAGGATCTTCGCCGGTGCTACAGAGTTCGTGCACTGCGCATAGATTCTTCAGACTTAGGCTTGAGTTAGAAGAAGAACGGAGCACTTATAGGTTACACCCATGTGCAATGATGTTGGTCCGTTGAATAAGCATAAACTCAAAAATGAACAATGTCTTTAGGAATTTTTTGTGGTGAGGTCCCAGTCTCTTTCATGGAGGGACTATTGTACCACAGTCTGAAACCACAAAAAAGGGTTTAGAAAGAAAAAAAAAAACTTTCTGCCAAGGGGAATCAAAACCTAGTATTATAGGAACGTGGAATTGTTAAATGTGTCTCCTTACCTCTAAGATGAGATATTTCTAGCCAGTTTTGTTAGTGTCTCTTAATTTACTTTTTTTTTTTCATTTGAAGACTCAGTTACCTCCAATTTTTAAATTTGATTTGTACTTAACATTTGTAACTATTTGTTGTCTTAGGAGCTGCCATAGTGCAGTGACAAGACTCTGCCGACCAGCTGAAACCTCCCGGGTTCAGACTTGCATCAGCAAGGATTTTTGGCACTCCTTCGAACAACAGTCCCAAATTATTAAGGTTAAAAACATACCCTAACAGGGTCTCGAAAGGTCATCTAGTATAACTATTTAAAACTGGGAACTAAAATATAATTAATCCTAACCCCAACACTAATTTAGAGCTTTGGAAGAGAACTAAGCAAGCTCCAGTGGACCAAGAGGTGAGGAAAAGACGCTGGCGTTGGATACGACACACATTGAGAAAACTGGAAAACAGCATAGCTAGAATGTCTTTGCATTGGAACCCACAAGGGCATAGGAATAAAGAAAGGACAAAAAACACATGGAGAAGAAAGCTTTTGAATGAAGTTAGAAAGATGGGGAGAGCTCTGTGCGATAGCAAAGAATAGAACAACTTGGCGTGAATTGGTTGAGGAGGGCCTATGCTCCATTGGGGGGGCTAGAAAGGTAGAAGAAGAAGAACCCCAACGCTATCCCTAAGACAGCGAACATATACAGCTGCCACGTCATCAGTTGGTAGAAAATTATTCCTAGTCTGTCTCGGAGCTGATGGCCTGCCTGCCAAATTTGCTGGAAGCAAATCCTAATGTTATATATCATTGAGGCCCCGTTGAGGTATGTTTTTAACCTTGATAATTGGGAACCATTATTCGGAAGGAGTGCCGGATTTTTATAAAATGACCTTGATTTCTTAGTAATGTAATATTTGGGCACCAATAAATTGTTACAGTGTAATACTGGGGCACCATTAAATTGTTACATTGTAATATTGGTGCACCGTTAAATTGTTACAGTGCAATATTGGGGCACCATTAAATTGTTACATTGTAATATTGGTGCACCGTTAAATTGTTACAGTGTAATATTGGGGCACTATTACATTGTTACAGTGTTATATTGAGGCACCATTAAATTGTTACATTGTAATATTGGGGCACCATTAAATTGTTACAGTGTAATATTGGGACACCATTAAATTGTTACAATTTAATATTAAGGCACCATTAAATTGTTACAGTGTAATATTGGGGCACCATTAAATTGTTGCAGTGTAATATTGGGGCACCATTAAATTGTTGCAGTGTAATATTGGGGCACCATTAAATTGTTGCAGTGTAATATTGGGGCACCATTAAATTGTTAGTGTAATATTGGGGTATCATTAAATTGTTACAGTGTAATATTGGGGCACCATTAAATTGTTGCAGTGTAATATTGGGGCACCATTAAATTGTTGCAGTGTAATATTGGGGCACCATTAAATTGTTACAGTGTAATATTGGGGTATCATTAAATTGTTAAGAGTGTAATATTAGGGCACCATTAAATTGTTACAGTGTAATATTGGGGCACCATTAAATTGTTACAGTGTAATATTGGGGCACCATTAAATTGTTACAGTGTAATATTGGGGCACCATTAAATTGTTACAGTGTAATATTAGGGCACCATTAAATTGTTACAGTGTAATATTGGGGCACCATTAAATTGTTACAGTGTAATATTGGGGCACCATTAAATTGTTACAGTGTAATATTGGGGCACCATTAAATTGTTACAGTGTAATATTGGGTATTATTAAATTGTTAAGAGTGTAATATTAGGGGACCATTAAATTGTTACAATGTAACCTGTATTCCAGAGTGGATGGATTTTTTATTAATTTTGATTAATGTGTAATGTTTCCATTCCTTATAAAGATGGTCTTTCATCAGTCTTTATTTAAACTTTCTTAAATATTTAAGTCATTGATGTAGAAGGAGCTGCCGTAATGTAGCACCCAGACTCTTGCCGGCGAATTCAAAGGTCACGGGTTTAGATCCTGACAGAGCCTGACTTTGTTTCAAAAATGACCTTGGCTCCTGGGTCAACACAGCCTTAAATGGAGACCATGTAGAGTCTTATAAGTAAATGTGACTGGCATGATATCTCCCCCAGAATGCAGATTGGTCTATAAAATATAGGTCAACCCCAGTGTTTCTCAAACTTTTCTTAGTCGCGGCGCCTTTTTTCAATAAATTTTTTTTTTCACGGCGCCCTAAGTAAAAGTGTGACCATTCCTATGTAAGAGACATAAAAAAAAAAGCTTGTGTATCTTTGAATATTTCGCAG